AGGTTCTTTTTAAATGCCAACCAATATGCTTTTAATTAAATTATATAAACATGTGATCTGAACATCTCTTTTTAAATAAGAAATCTCAACATATAATAATAATAATAATATATAATAATACTTATATATAATACTTATAATAAATGAATAAAAAGATGTCTCAACTTCCATCAATTATTCACAAGTATGAATCATTTGCAATATTATTTTAGAATAAAGCCAAACATAAAATAAAAATTGAAATGTATTCAATCTCTTCTTCAACCATCTTTTCCAATTTTGGGACTAAAATCAAGCAACTCTGTGGGCATAAACAAGCACAACTTCATAAATAACACAATATTCCATAATATAACACAATCACAACACAACTGCTATAACCAAACATATATAAAATGACAAACTTTAGTAAAGTAACACAAAAGCAAAACTTGGGCTACAAGTATCGATGACCTACGCAAAATTAATCAACTCGAGCGAGGGTAAAAGGGATGAGAAAACACCATAAGCACCAATTTCGACCAACCTTCTTCATTAACAACTGCTCGGTATGGATGAAAACGATTGTGCTGGACGGATGATAAATAATACACTCTTAAATGGGCTTTTGAAGGCAGAAGTGAAGTATTCTCCTTAGTGACAATAGAGCTTGATCAAAGAATCTGCACCCGCTGTGAACAACCAAGGTTGTCTCGGGTGGAACTTGAGATCCAAAACTCCTGCAAAAAGCACACGCACATAATTAATTGTACAACCAAAAAGTTGCAAATCTATAATCCACATAAAAACAATACATTTTATAGTTATCAAGCATATTTTCACCAACTAATTATAATTATTTAAATTACTCACACACTAGATGAAGTAGTCTAGTATTAGTACTGTATCTTCAGTCAATAGACTTCCTATTTGCATTCACACTCAAATTTGGAGGCGCGGATTAATAAAAAATAATAATAAAAAAAAATTACCTCGTCCATCAGCACTTGAATGCCCTCGAAGGATCTCCAAAGGAACAATCAGAGGGTTCTGATTTAGATCAGAATAAACCATGCCATGAAAAACATATGCCGTGCAATCATCCGAGCACGAGGCAAATAAAGGGTATGACCGATGGTAAGCAACCCCAGTAATGTCCTTTGGATGACACCTGAATATTTTGAATCAGCAAATTAATTTTTTTAAAAAAAAATAAATAAATAAAAAAAATACAAATGCATATCACTTGTAGCAATCAATAATTTGTGGTAATTTGCGCTACAATTTCCATCATATTTACCAAAAACTCAAATAGATTTTAATGTTCTATGATTAGGCTAACCAAAGCACAATCGGTAGCCATCTATTGTCTCCTAACATTCTTCACAGTAAATAGCATACCACTGAAATCATGATTATACGTATACCACTGGATATCATTTTTTTATGGACCGAAATTTAAAAATACGGGATGTCCTCTTCCAACAAACAGCTTGCTTGACACCATCAATGGCGACTTGAGCCTTTGAAATGCTGCTATTACTTAATTTTGCAATAAAGGAAAAAACCTCTAAAAAATGTTACAGAAATTCAGCCCTCTGCATCACAATACAATGATCAAATTGCAAATTCAACCCTCCTCAATATTTTGAACAACCACAGCAAACTTTTGTAATGGGTGATAACAATTGCTTAATTCTTAGCTG